CAGTCATAGGAGCCATCCCACCACATCTCCATGATGCCAATGAGATCACAGCCCTGCAGGTGTGCACATGTCTCTAACTTGTTAGTTCCCCATGCTACATGTGTTTGCATAGAGGCATTTCAGTTGGGCCACCGATGAAGCTGGCTGACTAGCTGGAGTAGTTGGAATTCCTTTGTGCTGCACTCCAGGTGCTCTCCTGCTGACCTGGGATCCTTCTCCCTGCTCTGGGCATCTGGCATCAAACTGGTTAGGAGAGGGACAGATTGAGGTTTCTGTCCCCTGACAACTTTAAAGTTTAAATAAAAGAGCCTCTGCAGTGCCAAAAAGCTGAAGAGAATTTACTGGCCAGTACTGGTCAGAATGTACAAAATCACTCATGAAGATAATATAGATGGTGAGTGGAAAGGAGAAAAATGTGAATGTAGAGGAAATCTTTTAAGCTAATTGGCAAGCTACCTAAAAGCAAGGGAAAACAGTTCTGATTGTAGAAACTTAAAAACATGGAGAGTACGATTCTGAAGCCTGGGAGAGCTGAGATCTGAGGTTGCTGGTAAGCAAGAAAGAAGCATGGGTGAGAATTTCCACAATGGCAAAAGGCAAAGGAGTTATTAAAAAGATAGATGCGGAACAGCACAAACTGCTAGGTGTTTTTTCAAGACAGACAAGAGAGTCTGCAAATATAGTTACTGTATGTGAAGTAGCTGTGTGTCTGCTTTGGAAAGAAAGATAGATATAATGAAAGGATTTCCTTTTATTCTTAGCTTCTGTTATCAAGTTTATTGTAGTATAGAAAAATATTAATGCAGTACACTTGCAAACTTTTATACATATGGTTTTTTCCATCCAAGACTGCCTTGCTTGAATTTTAATAATGGATGTTAGTGCATGTTGTAATATTTTCTTCTAATCAAATGCTCTTTTTCCCCCTCAGTCTAGAAAATTCAGGAAAATCTTGAATTTACAGTAAATGTTACTTTAAATGATAAATGAAAAAATTTGAAAACTTTCTTTGTCTCCCCTCTCCCTGTCAGGTTATCTATATCTTATCTAAACCAAACTTTCTGATATATTTTAGTGTTACAAACCATATTAAATATTGTATCTGAATTTGTTTTTAGCTGTTGCGAAACCAGAGATTTTCCGCTTCCTTTCATCATGCAGTTGAAACAGTTGTTAATATGCTAATGCCACACATCACTCAGAAGTACAGAGACAATCCAGAGGCTTCAAAAAATGCAAACCATAGCCTTGCTGCCTTTATAAAAGTAGGTGCACAAACAACTTGGGCTTTGTGGTTACTTTTTCAAAAATACTACTTCATGGATTTTAAAGAATCTTAAAGTTGACTTATATAAAACCAAATATATTTAGTGCTTTTTAAATATAATTCTATCTCCAAGTCAAAATGCATTGAAGTATAATTTGCATCTTCTATAATCAAGAAGATGTCTGTTCAAAAGCTTGATTATTTTTTTGTATTAATGTATACTTTATCTGAAATATATTTTGATTTTTTAATGTAATTTAGGTTGTCTTCTAATCCTACGAAAGCTTCATACGTTGAGTAGTGTTTTATTTTCATGCATTTTATGTAGACAGACTTTCAATGTCTTTCCTTTTTCAGCCATTAAGGTCCAGTAGGCAGAAAAAAGAATGGGAAATAAAAAGGTAGATAAAGCAGCTAGTGGCATGTCATTTTTATTTTTGTCAAGATAAACTTCTCTTCAAACTGCTTTTTATCTGGAGTTTGTTTACATTTTGCACTCTAAGGGAAAATTTGGTATTCGTATATGTATACATATAGTTTGCTTTTTTAATTGATTTTTATATTCAAACTGAAATATCAATATTGTGTTTGGAAAATAATCTTATTAAATACAAAAATATAATTTCGGGCCATTGAGACAGTACTAAATCAATTCTGTCTTGGTTTTGTTTGTTTTCCCCAGAGGTGTTTTACTTTTATGGATAGAGGCTTTGTTTTCAAGCAAATCAATAACTACATCAGCTGCTTTGCCCCAGGAGATCCGAAGGTACTTAGTGCTTTTAAATGATTTTTAGGAGTTGCCTCTTCTTGATGCATGTGGATGGAGTCCTGCATTAAGTCTTCAGACTTCTTCCCAGTTACATTAGAAGTCCTTGCACTGTGCCTAGAGCATTTTTTTTTCTTCCATCAAATCACTTTTTCATATTTTGATTCCCATTTTCAGATGCAACTTTACCACCCTAGAACTTGTGTATTGCGAAAGAGCTGGGTGGTAGGGGGTGCAACACTAAGCAGAAATTTTAAGCATGAATGTGAGAGATGCTTAAAGGTGAAGAGTTGGTATCTGATAAGTTTCTGTACATTTACTGTAGTAGTGAAAGCATGTACCAGATGTCCAAAGAATTTCTTCTGTAGGCCCAAGCTTTTCTTACTTCAATACATAATATAGTAAACTTAAATGGTAAACCTAAATAACTTTGGACAATGGGAACAGTAAATAGAACTATGTCTCGTTATCAAGTATGAATTATGCTGGAATTATTTTATATTGATGTATACAACGTTGACGGGTCTATATCCCTTATACTGCAAGACTGAGAAATCACTCTTTTGTGTTAGAAAGCTGTTTTTAATGTGTTATTTAAATCACTGCATCAGTTGTTGAATTTATACTTTAAAATTATTTTTGCAGACTCTTTTTGAATTCAAATTTGAATTTCTCCGTGTAGTCTGTAATCATGAGCATTACATACCGTTGAATCTACCAATGCCCTTTGGAAAAGGCAGAGTTCAGAGATACCAAGGTAAATTCTTCCAAAGTAGTCTACGGTATATTTCTGTTTAATAAATGCATCATTATGCAGTAAATAGGGCTAGGGATATAAGAATAACTATGATTATATTTATTATATCTATGGATATATGTGAATTTGTCAATAATGTTGGAAACATTTTAGTTCAGCATTAATTGATAAATAGTACCATGCCTCACACAGAACTTGTGCTTTACTTCCAGACCTTCACCTGGACTATTCATTAACCGATGAGTTCTGTAAAAATCACTTCTTAGTGGGACTGCTTCTAAGGGAGGTGGGCAATGCATTGCAAGAGTTCAGAGATGTGCGACAGGTTGCTATTTATGTGCTCAAGAATTTGATGATAAAGCACTCTTTTGATGATAGATATGCTTCCAGGGTAAGTGTATTGCTATGCTAGTAATACAAAATAGTAAAGATTAAGTATGCACACATACAGAGAGTTTGTTCTTCCACAAAAAATTTGTTAATTTGCAGCAATGCTATTTCTGTTCAGACTGATGAATATATGTATTCAAATTCTATCAAAATCAATCTGCAAATCCCGTATTTTTACCAAATGAAAGCAGAAAGCACCTTTAACATAATTATGTCTTTATTACACTTTAGCACGGTGTAATCTCACTGCTGTTCTTAAAGTAATCAGATTTCTATGAATGTTTTCAAAGCTCTTTGAGTGATTTTTTTAGTTTTCCTGACTCTCTTTTAATATCAGCTATGCTGTGGAGAAGCCATAAAATTTTAATGAAGATATCATTACTTTATCAAGCTTGTTAATTTAGCTTGTTAATTTAGTCTTAGCTAGAATCACATGAATTTAGGGCTTTTTCTGCATTATATCGAAACAGTAAAATTTACTGACCTTCTGTAAATTAGAATGAAATACAGTGATGATCACTGCTTTTGCCATTTGTGAACTTAGGAGTATGAGCTCTGACTTGGCAAATATTTATTAAGTGCTCCTTTTTTGTAATTTAGGAGAGAATAGCTTAAAAATAATTAGTGATTAACAAATTACAGATTTAATTTTTAATGACCTGTTATACTCTATTTATAGAGCCATCAGGCACGAATAGCTACTATGTATTTGCCACTCTTCGGACTGCTCATAGAAAATGTTCAGCGAATCAATGTTAAAGATGTGTCTCCGTTTCCTGTTAACCCTTCCAGCAGTGTGAGTGACCATTTCTGTTTGGTATTCTGAACTATTTTAATCATAATTTATTGGTAATGTGTATATGAAACACAGCAAACTTCTGGCAAATAAAGCTTCAGAATTCTGCGAGTTTGTTCTTACTTTTTCTGAGTTTAAAAGCTTAGTTAACTTTTATGGTTTTGGCTATGGTTTCTCTCGTCCAGCTAAGCTATGTCTAACATGGTAATTGGTGCTATATCCAGATTAGAGTGCCCTTATTGATCTCTACTTGAACCCCTGAAGATTTTTGAAGAATGCTGGGCCACACGGATTGCCATGGCATCATTCTAATGCCGTGTGACTATACTGCCATGTAACATCTTGCTTTTTCTACATTTCTGGTGCATGTGCCTGTATTTCAAGACAAACTATAGACCACATAGGATTGGAACTGCTGCATCTTTTAGAGTATCCTAAAAGGAGCAGCCAAAGAAGCTGAAGGAACAGTGCATTTGAAATAAAAAATAGCAGTCGTTTCTGCAATTTAACATCCTTCCTTTTGTATCTATTACCCAGTTTTAATATACTTTCTGTGAGAAGAGTTTTCATTAAATTGTCTCTGTGTTTTACTCAAAAATTACACTTCTCTTTAGTCTGCCTGCCAGTTTGTATAAACAGTCTGCCTCTATTCTGGTAGATCCTGGCATTGGAGACACTTGCATGTACTTCATTTCTGTGCAAGAGGATAGTCCCCCAACATCTAACACATAGAGAATTAGTTATGTTCACTAAAATCCCAAAAAAATTCAGTAGTTGCTGTTCAACAGAAAAGATTGCATATTGGTGGTAGATTTTTGTAAAAAAAAAAAACAAACAAAAAAACTTCTTTTTCTATTTAGGCCAACACTGAAATAAATGGACCACAAAAAAAAAAGTTAATTTTCTAGAAATTAGAAATTTAATTTTTAATTTAATTTTTAACCTTAAACGAGTGTGCTTTTGGAACAGCTGTAGTGTAAGAGAGCTACAGAAGAATGAATTCAAATGGAATTTGTGAAGGTATATGTTGATATATTATAGTTGCATACAATTATTGAATCTAAGATTTAATTGATATATTTTATTTTTGTCTGTATCTTGCTGTGTTCCATTTGGTATTAAAAAAGAAATTCACAATACCCTTCCAACAAGAGAAATGTTTCAGTGTTTGAAATAAAAGTAATTTGGGTCTTTTGGAAATATCTGGTTTATAGTATTTAAGATTTAATGGAATATAATTTCTTCAATGTTTCCCTAGGTATCTTAAGTTTTAGGCTATCCCAAGCTTGTGCAAATACCTGAACATCTCATTCCATGCTTTTGGGCATATTTAATAGAAATTAAAATTTAAGAAAGAACTGTATCACAAATATTGCTCTAGAAGATAAAGTATGTCATATTCACTAAATCTGTAGTGTTGAAAGCAATAATCACATTTTCCTCTTGTCCAAACAGAGCGCAAAGGATGATGCACTTACTTTGCCAACTGCAAGTCAGCTAGTAACACCACAAAAATCAGGAAACACATTGGATAACAATCTTCCTAAAGATCTATTTGGTGTTATCTCTGGCATTGGTAAGCACTTAAAAAATAAAATAATTTTAAAAAGGAGTCAATTCTGTTTTTCATTTGTTACCAGAGATAATTGCTTTGTGTGTAACTGTGGTTGTTTTCTGCATATGTACTTGCATTTACTGCTGCTTTCATTAACAGAACCCTAATGCAATCCACCGTTCGGTGTGGGTCAGAATTCACAGTCTGTACATGAAATCTTTCTCTCGGGATATTTTTGGGTTTGTTTTTCTCTTTGGAGCTAAAGCTATTTCCTGGAGAGCTGCTTTTTCCCCGTCAAAGGTGATAGTTCTTGTCTTGCTGCAGAGAAGTAGGAGGCAGGACTAGCCTCAGTCATGGCAAGAGTGCCATAGTCCATGATTTTGTACGTGATATTGGAGACCACCTATAGGCGGAGTGCTGCTAGTGCACACCTGTGGGCATCCTCATGTCTGTCTTAATGTATTTTTCCTATTTATTGTTACCTGCTGTGTAATTTAGTTGTGTCACTAGTCCATTAAAAAAAAAAACATGAAAAATTAGAAAGGGGATTTTTTAAATATATATGCTTTCTTCATGTGTGTATGTATTGCTACATGTGTTTTTATGTCTATATGTATGTAGTTGTACGTATGTCTACATGCATATGTACTTTGCTGAAACTCTAGAATCAGTTTGTCTTCATTAAAAGTAACTAAATAGAATTATTTGCCGCCTTAATATATACATATATGGTGGTTTTAGAAGTCTGACTAAACTACAAAGTGACTTTATTCAGTATTGTTTGATATTTTTATATTGTTTTGGGGTTTGTTTTTTGTTTTTTTTAGCTTCCCCATACACTACATCAACTCCAAATATTAATAGCGTGAGGAACGCTGACTCAAGAGGCTCTCTTATAAGTACAGACTCAGGAAACAGTATCCCAGAAAGACACAGTGATAAGAGCAATTCCCTTGACAAGGTAAGAAAACCAAACCAAAATAAAAAACCTGAAGTGTATTCCTAAAATTTCATCTTAATTCTCATAGGAGTTAACTTCTGTAATCTCCATTGGGAATGGGCTTTCTAGAATGACTGTAGAACAGAATTTTACAGAACTTTTTTCTTTCGCAAAATAATTATCATATGAACTCTTTTTGCATTATATTTATTAAGCTATTTTGCAGAAAATAGGAAAATATTTTCAATGTAGAGACCTAAACAAGCAGTTGTTTCCTTTGCTAGAGAAAGGCACTAGATGAAGTGTGTTGAATTTTGCTTGAGAGAACTCAATTCTAGTTAGGACAGTTTTGACTTTGTGGAGACCTTCAGTCCGTCCTGTTCTATACACAATATATGTAGCATTCTTAAAATGTTTAAAAACTGGTTGCTGTGCTTTTTCTAGATGATTTCTTTTCTATTAGTTTGACTTTTCTAAAACATTTCACTTTAAAGCTGTTACAAATTAGGAGCTCTGGCTGCAGTAGCTATGAGGTATTCAGTCATGTCTTTCTAGAGCTTGTGTTGATACTGATCACATTTCATTTTCTTAGATCTTGTTGTGCAAGTCACAACATGTTAACTTTTTCCCCTTGACTCTGACATGCCTTCGTGTGGCAGAGAGAGAAGCTTCTCAGAAGGCACTCTGCTCATGCTATGCGCCCTAATGGAGAAGAAGAAGAAAATTCTCACCCTGCAAAGAAAAACCGTGTTACTATGGATTTTTCACTTCTGACAATTCCAGCTTTACCAGAGAAAATTTTGCATGCTGCTTTCTCTCTTCAGTTACAAGAAGTATTTGCTTTTTGTGCTTGGTATAGTTGAGCTTCTGAGTGAAGTGTGTGATCAGTAGTTTTGCCACTTCTTTGCAACAGTCGAATCTCAAGGCAAATATGTACAGTGTAACCATGTAAAAATGCCTTAAATGCCAAACCTGGAATAGTTCATGTACATGACTTAATTTAAGCATAAAAATCTAATCAGCTTAATATCAGCAGAATTTGGGTTTTTAATATAAATAGAACTGAAAAAATCTTCTTTGACATTGACCAAGTAAACAAATATCTTGTGCACACACTGTTGCTAAATGGCAATGCTGTCATCTACTACTTAGTTGTCATGTTGTTAATTACCAATGTGTAGTGTTTTTACCAAGTAAAAGGGTTTTCAAAGGAGTCAACATCCTTTGAAAATTCTACTCTGGTCTGCCAGTTTAGGTAATACAGGATTTTGTTTTGCATGCTGTTAATGTTTTCCCCAAATAATACTTAATCCTGGCTTCTTATTTGTTGTTTTCCAAACTTTTTCTAGTAGATCAGTGCACGTTATCTTTGAATTTTTGCTCATTGCTTGATATCATTACTGAAGAGGCATGTTTTTGTTTTAATTTTTTTTCAGAATAGCCTATTGTACTATACTTGTGGAATCAGAATTGGTTGGAAGTATATCAGTTCTTTATTTTAATCTGTGCATACTTCATAGGTTATTGATGTTATTTTAAATTGGACTATAACTATGCATAAGCTTTAGTTTTATTCATGTATGTGTTCAACTATTTTAGAGGAAATATTATCTAGTTTTGGACAGCATCCGAAAGTCTAGGAAACTCAACTTCTTTTTCTGCTTTGCCACCCATTAATTGCCTGCTCTGTTTCACTATCCGTAAAGCTGTATAGTAGCACCTCAACAGTTTGTGAGGTCTTTAGAATTGGCAATAAGCAGGCTTTTATAGGTGTCCATTTCCTCCTCAATTACAGTAACTTCTGGCTAGTGTTAATCATAGTTTCCCATTCAGTTTCACTTTGCATCCATTTAGTGGCTCGTATGTGACAAATTTACACAGACTGTTTTAGGACAACAATTCTTTCCTTTTACGTGGAATGCATTAAAGGGCTTGGCAGTCAATTGACATGTATGCTGTGAAATGTTCCCTCCTGGGTTAGCATGTCTCCTGCTTTCAGCGAGGAGTGTTCCTGGAAGGGTTGTTCTACCCTTGAGGTATTGGCACTTCTCGCTTTGTTTGTGAAACCAAGTGCTTTTCTCCCTTGAGTCTATGTTTTTATTTTATTTTTTTTCTAATTTTGATATGAAGGATTTCTTCCGACACTTGTATGTGTCCTTACAAAGGTCATAGAGCCCAGATGATCCAGCTTTCTTGTAGAAACCAGAGTTCCATAGATCAGTTGTACAATTTAATAAGAAAACTTATTAAATGTCTGGTTCATTTTCCATTCATGTAAGTGGCTTCATATTGGAAGTGAGAATTAGGCACTAAAAAGGGCATAATTTATCCTTTAAACATTTATATAGTGTATCTGTAAAAGCCTCAGAATGAGGATTCTGTAACACTTGATCGTAGGGAAATTAGCCTTTGCCTAAAATTCAACTTGGATGGTTTCACAATTGGGTTTTTTTTTCCCTTTTTTGTGGTACACATTTTGAAAGATCAGTCATGGGCTTTTTTTCTTTTTGGACAGACTTTAGTATTGAGTATTGCTGATTAACTTCCCACAAGTGTAGGAATTGTATAAACAAATGAAGCAGGGAGAAAGTTGGGTTTTTTTGGGTGGCTTTGGGATTTGGTTTTTGTTTTATGTTGTGGGTTTGTTTGGGTTTTTTAAGGCAAGGGCAAGCTACATATCTGTAATATTCCAGAATGCATATTATTGCCATTCATCTATGTTTTCCCTGGGGTTCCTACATCTTTAAATGGAAAGAATTTTCTAGAGGCAGGTCTGTCTACAGTTCAGCATAAAGTCTCTTCAAAAGCAAAGACGCATATATGTATCACCTAACAGTAGCGTGTATATTTAAAGCATTTCATCTAAACAGAAGGAGCATGTCTGATTTCTACAATGTGGGTATCCACGTATAATTAACTTGAATAATAATCACTGTTAGGTAACTTTTCCTCTTACTCCTCCCTCTGGGGCAAAAAAGAAATACAAAGAAGGAAATAAAAATAAATAAAGGTAAAGAGCCTTAATTTGGTATACTTCATGTGTGTAATGTGTGTTTTAGTGACCTGTCTCTACATGAAACATTTTTGTCTCCATTCTGAGATCCTTTTTCTGTTGCAGGAATTAATAAGGCAATTTGAAACATTTTAGTTTATTAACAGTTTAAGAACTCTTCAGCCAAAATATGTCTGTCTTCTTTTCAGAACCAACAGAGCAGCACTTTAGGAAGTTCTGTAGTTCGGTATGACAAACTTGACCAAGCAGAGATCAAAAGTCTGCTCATGTGTTTCCTTCATATCTTAAGAAGTATGTCAGAAGGTAGGTAATATCACCTATTTTTTATAAATTTGAAATCACGTGTTGGATTTATACCTGTGATTTTAATACCTTTTCAAAATCAGCAAAATATTTTAGGTTGTAGGTACCATGTTGTGCTGCATTTTACAAATATATGTGATTGATCAAATTAAGGTTTTATTGAAATCTCGTAAACATTAAATAGTCATTATTTCTTCAAAGTGTGACGCTAACTAAAGGGCTTGGTAAGAAAGCAGGTATTTGTATGTGATTGTACAATCTGGTTTGGAAAATGGAAGTGAAGAATAGTTCATTGATCAGTAGAAGAGTCTCAGGCTAGTCCGTTCCTGCATTCTGCAGAACTTCCTGTATGGCAGGGAACCAAATTATTTGATTGCTGTGTACATTTCAATTTCTGGAATGGGGATATTAGTGCTTCTTCATTCTCTTGGAATGTTTGTGAAATGATCCATGAATTTTTGAGAGAGTCATATTATCCCGGAGAAGGTTGCAGAGATATAGAAATACTATATGAATGGCAAATCTTGATTATTATTTTTTTTTTTTTTTTTTTACTATCATCATATAACTCAGAATCATGCCTATTCTTGATCAATATTTGAAAAAGAGGGAGAGTCCCTTTTGGTAAAAAAAATTGAGTTTTTCAGTTTGTGCTAAACATATCAACAATAGTTAATTATTTTCTGTGCCTATTTTTATGTTAACTTCTAAAAATCAAGTTTATGTAGTACTACTCGAACTCTAATTTATTAGACCACTTAATCATGAATGAGAAGTGAAAGGTTAAGAAGTATTCAATATCCAGTCGCACCATTAGATTTTTTTAAGTAATTACATAGATATTATTTCATGTATTTAAATTACAAAGAACAATAAAATTAAAAAATATTTTTCTGCTATTTTATACTTTGAAATATATAAAAATCAGTCAGAATTTCCAGGAAATTGAAGTTGAAATGTACATAAGCACAGTGGGGTTTTTTTAGTCTCAATTTTCCTGGAAAAGAACAAAGGTCAAATAAACTTTGCCACCCATCTTTTTAATAGTTTTGAATTTGTTAGCTAATGTTGAACATTTTTGGCAAAACAGACCAGGTCTTGGCTATGTAACTATAAGCTTTGTAAAAAAGATATAGCCATTTTTGAAACCTGCGCAAATAAAAAAAGTCTGAAACATGCTGGAAAAGTATCCATAGTAAAGCATTATAAATTAAAAAAGAAGAAATCATAAATTTGAATTTAAAAAATGTTGAGACCAATCTATGAATAAGCAGGTCATAGGACTAACAGTCCAAAGTGTTCTGAAGTCTCATATTTTTTAGAACACTCTAATCACTACTGACTACACAATTACTACTATTTAAAATATAAAAGTGTATGGGAATATTACTGATTCATTGCAAGCATATCGTAGAAACTAATTTGGAGAATTTATATATGCATTTGTATAATCAGCTTCAAGGAAAACTTTAAATACTCCACAAGTCATTTTTAGATTCTTTGAATCCTCGTTATCTGAAAACTAAGAACTGATGTTAACTCTTCTACTTAATATTTTTGTGTGTTTGCCTTTTTCTTGTTTTTTAATATTTTTCATTTTCCTAGATGCATTGTTTACATATTGGAACAAGGCTACAAAGTCTGAACTCATGGACTTTTTTACAATTACAGAGTAAGATTTTTCTTTATCATAAAATCATACATTTTGCTATGCAGTTAAAAGTATGAGCGTGGATATAAGTGTGTATATATGGTTTTGTTTATTTGAAAAAATAATGCTATCTTGGTCTGTTTAGAAGTCCTTAACTTGATTTGCATAATTGCATGTCTGTCCAATTCCAAGATAGCGTCTGGAATTAGGCTACACAGAAGTGACGTCAGGAAGTTCCTAAACAGCAAGTAGTGCTCATAATATTGCTGTGCTCATGGAAGAGGAACCATGTTGACCGGTCTGTATTAAAATGCATCTTGTAACATTGTGGTTTAACCTGGCTAGCAGCTAAAACAACCACTTAGTGGTTCCACTTGCTCCCCACCCACCCCAGTGGGATGGGGGAGAGAATCAAAAAGAAAAAAAGGTAAAAACTCATGGGTTGAGAAAAAGACAGTTTAATAGGGCAGAAAAGGAAGAGAAGAATAATAATAAAAGAATATACAAAACAAGTGATGCACAGCACAATTGGTCACCACCTGGAACTGATGCTCAATTAGTTCCTGAGCTGTGCCACCTCCTAGCCCACCCCCCAGTTACATACTGAGCATGACATCTCATGGTATGGACTATCTGCTTGGTAGAATACCATGGGACAAAGCTCTAGAGGGAAGAGGGGCCCAAGACAGCTGGTGAATATTCAAGGGTCACCTCCTCCAAGCTCAGGAGCGATGCATCCCAACAAAGAGGAAGTCAGGCAAAACCACCAGGAGGCCTGCATGGATCAACAAGGAGCTCCTGGGCAAAGTCAAACACAAAAAGGAAGCCTTCAGAGGGTGGAAGCAAGGGCAGGTAGCCTGGGCAGAATACAGAGAAACTGTCTGAGCAGCCAGGGATCAGGTTAGGAAAGCCAAAGCCCTGATAGAAATAAATCTGGCCAGGGATGTCAAGGACAACAAGAAAAGCTTCTATAGGTATGTTAGTGAGAAAAGGAGGACAAGAGAAAATGTGTGACTCCTCCAGAATGAAACGGGTG